ATGCAATTGCATTTTGCACTCAATCGCTCCTAAAAAAATCAGATTGTTTAAAAAACAAAAAACAAAAACAAAAAAAAAAACAAAAAAAAAAACAAAACAAAACTTATGCAGTCTGCTCGTTGCGTCGATCGACGCACGCCGGGTGCTCCGCCTTAGGGTTCCGTCAGCCATTGATTCCATTGTTGAAGTCGCCGGTCGTAGTTCGTGTTTGGCGATGTCGGTTCGTCTGCTCCAAGTCTCTCCAGTGTGCAAAACCGTCAGTCTCCTTATTATTAGCAACTTTGAACCCTATGCTGTCAAGACCCGTAAACAAAGGGATTTCCTTCTTTATCTTGCACAATTAACCATATAATTACTTGTTTACCCCCAACTTAATTACAAATTAAGTAACAAGGCAACGTACGTGGCGTTTAAATTCCATCTAGCCATCATTTTTGGGCCGTTAGATCGTCTCATCTTAGGGTGGGATTTTGACCTCAAACCTCACCTAACACATAAACCTCACTAGAACCTCACCCTATATATATATATATATATATATATATATATATATATATATATATATATATATATATATATATATATAGGGAAGGGATCAGGTGCATTTGTTGCTTCCCGTGCGGTTGTGCGGTGGATTAATGTGCGTGAGGTTTATACTTAATGTGCGTGAGTGTTGTGCTTAATATGCCTGAGATTTGTATTTAATGTGCGTAATGTTAATATGCGTGAGTTTTGTACTTAATGTGCTTGAGTATTGTGCTTTATATGTGTGAGATTTGTGCTTAATGTACGTGAGTAATTTAGAATTACAATCTCAGAAAGAAGCATAACAACTTCAATAAACTATTTTTGTTTCTCTCTTCTCTTGGAAACCTTTGCAGTGCTGCCTTAGCTTGTTTATGTATGTTATGCTGCTGTGTTGAGTTCGTTCTTGCATATAGATAGAGAGTATTTAATTTATTTATGTGTTATTCCTCATCAACTTCCTAGATTAACGCCATTTTTTCACAAAAACAATAGTTGAGGAAAGATGTGGGGCTTTGGCATCTAGAAACATCTTCCTCAACACGCAAGCATCATCATCATAGTATCTGCACTCAGCAGTAATTCCTTAAAGATTTCTAAACAAATAAATACCAAAAACCTGTAATTCGATTCTCCCTAAATCACGCGGGAGCTTCGGCGAAGGGTGATCGACCCTATTGGGAAAGGAGAAACTGACATCTATATTTTCTGCTGCATTTTACACATTCACGCACATTAAGTACAAATCTCAGGCACATTAGACACAACACTCACGCACATTGAGTACAAATCTCACGCACATTAATCACCCGCACAACCGCACGGGATCCTTTCACTATATATATATATATATATATATATATATATATATATATATATATATATATATATATATATATATATATATATATATGCTTCGAATCTGGTGCAACCCCTATACTAAATGAGATCATGAGATCTCATGATATCCATTGATTCATTTTCCATAAATGATTGAGATTATAAGAGATTATGAAAGTAATTAAGGATATATTTAAATCAAAAGGATTAAATAGTAATTGTAGATATATGTTTAATTATGGATATAATTTAATTGGAATCTTAAGCATTATATTAGGGAGATTATGAATGAAAATTGATATTTTAAATTATTGGGGACCCTATCAATGGTAATAATTAATTATATTCTGTACATTTGAAATTTTAAATTATGAAAAATTTTACGGCGGTGTTTGCGTGGGTGTGGAATGGTGTGTGCGTTTTATAGTTTGCCATGGTGTACACCTCCTGTTACAGAAAACCGTACCCGTCATTCCACACCCGTGCACACACCATCGTAAAATTCCCCACAATTAAAAAAAAAAAAAAAAAAAAAAAAAAAAAAACACAAGCCCAATACTATATCTAGTAAAACACACACCAAATGTACATGCCTGTATCACGAAATGCACATACCAAAACGCATAATTTTATGAAAAAAAATCAGCACGCCATGGTGTACGAGCTCTGTTACAATAAAACGCACACACCATTCCACACCCACGCACACACCGTCGTAAAATTCCAAAAAAAATTACTGAGAGAGAGAGAGAGAGAGAGAGAGAGAGAGAGAAATATTTATTAAGGAGAGCTGAAATAACGCTACAAATCTTTATAAACATGAAAATAAATGAAATTGAAAGTAATAAATATAGTGCTTAAGGACAAAAAGACCCATGCTTAATCTAAAATCAGTATAACATGGGATCCAAGTGGTAATCAATTTGAATCGTCAAAAAATTAAAATCAATGATCAGGGAGTGTGCTCACAGGCTCGGCTGACTAGGAGGTGTGCACCGAATACAATATATATATATATATATATATATATATATATATATATATAGAGAGAGAGAGAGAGAGAGAGAGAGAGTTAGGATCATATGAGAACATGTGCTTAGGTGAGAACGTGAGAACACATCATGAGCATCCATCTAATATTTTTTAATGGTCTAGATTAGATTAAGTGTGTGCGAACGCGCATTAAATGTGTGCAAACACACTAAATCGCGTTTGCACACATTTAATGCGCGTTCGCACACACTTGATCTAATCTAGACCATTAAAAAATATTAGATGGATGCACATGATGTGTTCTCACGTTCTCACCTAAGCACATGTTCTCACTGGAACCCTACCCTCTATATATATATATATATATATATATATATATATATATATATATATATATATATATATATATATATATATATATATATATATATATCACTATGGCCACCATCATCACCACCGCCGTCGCCGCCACCACCATCGCTATCATCACCACCGCCACCGTCATCACCACCACCGGCGCCATCACCACCACCACCACATATTTTTATAAAGTGTATTTATGTCTTTAAAATATATATCATTTCTATTTCTTAAACCAACTAAACACTGTAATATAATTCCTAAAGTCTATTCCTTCCGCGAATCAAACAATAAAATACAACTCTTATTTTATTCCTTGTCTATTTTATTCTTTATGTAATAGCATTCTTATTACCTCAAAATTTATTCCGTGAACCAAATAAGCTATAGAAGTATAAGAAAATAAGCATTTACTAGTAGTAACGGAGTATAATTTTTAACTTCTGATTTATTACTGTAGTAGGTCCCGTGTTTGAACATTGAACCCTGATAGGGATTGTTGAGCTGATAGGGACAACTCTAATTTTCTTACACCACTCTCTTTTATATATATATATATATATATATATATATATATATATATATATATATATATCTCCAATCAATTAATAATTATTGTTATATAAACATTTAATAAAATTCTTTATTAATCCACTTTTATATTTTAAGATAAATATGAGAAAGGTGAGGGTGACTGCACCAACGACAAACGTGGACCTGAATATTGAAAAGTATATTCATGGAAAGTGTTGCTCTCCAGTTTCCACGAAGTTTACCGAATTTTATCTCTTTCATTAAGATACTGGTGGAAAAGTAGGGTGTCTTTGGTTCCGGAATCGAAATCGGAATGGGTATCAAATACTTAGTAATAGTAATAGATTTTAGAGAAAGTATTTTGAATGTTTAGTAATAGGGTGGAATGAGGGCAATTTATATTGTGCACAAGGGCACTCATTGCTTTGTGCATCCTGATACAGAACGACGTCATTTCGATTTTATTTTTTTTTTTTTTTTTTAAATTTCGCTATTCTGTGTCGGTTATTAATTTTCTTTTAAATAAAATTTCATGTTCAAAAATGTACATAATTGTATACTAGAATGTACATAATTGTATAACAAAATGCACATGCTTTTTTTTGAAAGATAATACACATAATCTAACATAATACATAATACACATAAATTTCCTATTTCAGATGTACATAATTGTATAAAAAAAAATGTACATAATTGTATAAAAATTGTACATAATTGTATGAAAAATGTGCACAATTGTACGTATACCATAATGTACATATACCATAATGAACATAATCGCGTCACTCCCTACATAACTTACCAAAACGGGGTCGTTTTGGGAGGCGTGGAGTGCACAGTGCTATACGCGCCATCGTGCAGGGTATAACGATTGGTTGAATGGAAATGATTATCAAAAATGCTATTTGGTTACGTATGATCCAATAATGAGAATAATGAGTTAAAAAATACAAGAACACAAAATCAAGACAATTGATTCCAATTTAAAGACATGCAAAACACCAATTTTAACAAAAAATATAAACAAAAATCTAAAGCACTAATCAAAGGGGATGTGAAGGAATAATGGAACGAAAGATGATGATACTCTGATTTTATTTGAGTATGAATTTTTCAATTAAGGGGGTATTTGAAACCCATAGTAGTGTTCTAAAACCTATAAACCAAACAATACCAATCACTTTGATACCCACTCCTTAGAGCTAAACCTATCAACCAAACACACCCTACATTCTCCAGTACACAGTTTTGGTTTTAGTATGCGCATGATTGTTCAAAAATTGATATAATATAAACATGTAAGTAATTATTTTCTTCTCCTTAAACCTAAAAGGTTAAATCTCCAACCTCAAGAGCTCCTCACATCCCGATATGACAGAACATTTTAGAAGATGTAAAATATAGTGACTCAATGACTCAATAAATAGGGTCAAATGCACACTACAAGAAAAATCGCGAATCGCGACGGAATTTTTCTATTGCAAATGGGCAATATTCCGTAGCGAATCGCGTTTCGCGATGAAATGGCGACAAAATTTATTCCGTCGTCTATCATCTTGTCGTATTTTGAAAGACGACGGAATAATTCCGTCGCAACTTTTGGCTACGGACTTGGCGACGGAATACTTCCGTCGCGATTCCGTCGCCCATTTCGCAACGGAACTGTTTCCGTCGCAAATCTGTCGTTATTTCTGAACCGAATATTCCGTCGCCATTCGGTATCTACATGGATGATTACCTCATAGTAATCTTACACATTTGCTAGTGGATTTTATACTATTAAGAAATACACAGTTTATCTCTAAAACTCACAAACAGAGAACTTCACAGGGAAAATAGTTTTGTATCTTGTGTCAAACGTAAGATCAGATGGCTGCCTTTCACTAATCTTACCTATCAGACGAACGACTTTATGTTATGTGTCATTTGGCCTACATAACTGCAAAGATGCTGGTCGGTAATGCAGATGCAAAGGGGCTGTCCGGGAGATTAATTCCTGAATTGCTGTACATTATCATCATCATCATCATCATTAAAATAAAGTATTAAACCGAATAATTGGTCAAATAGGAGGAAATCGCATTTCGTACCTGTCGTGATCATGGTATTTTGTGCCTGAATATATTTGGTTATTATCATCACTTGAGGAGCCGCCGCTTGGACCATCGAACTGGTAGAAATCATTAGCAGACGTGAGCTTGGAATACTCTGCAAGAAAAGAATGAAAAATGACAAAAAAAAAAAAAAAAAAAACACAATTTAGGAAATGTGAAATTTAATGTCTAATAAAACCAAGTCTATGGCACTGCACCTTCAGACATTTTCAGCTCGTCCATGGAATGGCCAAAGAAAGAATGATTAGACAACAGAGGCTTTCGTGCTAACTGCAGCTGCGAGAGTTGCCTTATCTCAAGTTCGAGAGCGTGTTGTTCCTCGAATCTCTTTAGAAATTTGGAATCCAATCCTATAATCAAATACGAAACACTTTAAAATTATTGGAAAATAAAATAATTTAATTACGTAATGAGAAGCTAAAAACAAACTTGATTGAATCTCAGATTCAAAATCGTTGTGAGAGTTGTAATTCATTGATGGATCAATTTTGTCTTGAAATTTCCTGCAAGAGAGCAAGACCAACTTAATTTCATTGCAAGAAACATCATAACACAACATCTCGAATAGGTAAAAATACCTTTCAATAGGTTTTGACTTTCCTCTATATGGTTTCACAAGAACACGAGCCCCTCATAGTAAACTTACACATTTCTAAGAGATAATCAAAAGTGAATATATGATATATGAATATGATAATTAATATTAAATACATAATAAATAAAAATAAACATAAATTACTAACTTACACAGTGAATAACTTAAAGTAATAAAATTAAAAACAGAAATAATGAAACGGTAAATAACTTAAAGTCTATATGAATTATGAAATACACAGTTTATAATTTTATACTTACTATATTATTTCATTTCTTAATATACACAGTGAATATACTATAACTTAAAGTCACAGTGTATACACAGTGAATATACTATAATTAAAGTCAATTCTTTATAGTTTTATAGTTTATACTACCATAAGATACTCAATGTGTTTGCTGAAATATATAGTCACAGTACAACACATTAAGTCATGAACTGAAATATCTCCCCATTCCCCGCCCTCATTTTTTATTAATGCCTAAAAGAAAGTCTAATATTATAAAAAATTCATATTGTTTAATGGAATCTTGTCTGCAGGTTAATTAGCTACTTAGCAGGGATTTTGCAGATACAATCAATAGACAAACCATTACAAACCTGCTAATACAAAATTTAATGGAATTTGTTCTATTTCTCAACCAGACAATAATACAAACCAGCTACTTAGCCAATACAATTGAAAATATAGTTCTCATGCCAAAACATCCAAATATCCAATGTCTTAGTTCTATTTCTCAATCAGACATTAGTAATATTAAACTAATATAAACAGCAAAGAGAGAAACTAAAATACCAACAGAGAGAAACTAAAATAGCAGCAGACGACGGAGACAGTGTCGCTACTCGCTTACCTGAAGAAACTAAGCAGCGATGGAGAGAGGACGACAGAAGTCAATACAACAGACGGCGTCGCGAGGTCGTGGCGATGGAGAGAGGTCGACGAGTCAGACACGGACGGCGACGGTGAGGTAGTGAGGCTTGGTGTCGTCTCAGTGATGAGCAGACACGGACTGCGACGGTGACGGAGTGAGGCTTGGCGTCATCTCAGTGACGAGCAGACACGGACGGCATCTCAGCGACGAGCAGACACGGACGGCGTCTCAGTGATGCGTAGAGGGAGACCGGAGGACGTGCGGACAACGAGGGAGTGAGGCTTGGCTGCCGGCTGCGTGACTGCGTTGCGAATTAGGGTTAAGAATAAGATAGACTGACAAGAGTATAATATTATTAATTATTAATTACTAAGGGACTTTTGTTTTTTAATTTTATTATTAATATTATTAATTATTAATTATTCATATATTATATATATATATTATAATATATATATATATATATATATATATATATATTAATTATTAATTATTAAACGGGGATTCGGGGACGGGGTCGAGGTCGGTGCGGGGAATGCCCTCCCCGTCGAGTTCCCGCGAAAAAAATCCCCGAACCCGCCCCCGGTTCAATTGACATCCCTAGTCAATTATAATAATGTTTTATTTTATTTTAATTTTAATTTCATATTAAAAATGCTACCATTTAACTCAGAAGAAAAAATAAAATTTAACAAAAATATTGCGACGGAATCCAGACTGTCGCAATTTCCGTCGCACTATTGAGTCAATATATCAAAATTTAATTCATTTAAGGACGGAAACAAGTCGGTCGCAATTTCCATTGCAATTTCGCGACGGAATGAACATCGGTCGCCTTTTCCGTCCCAAAACGAGCGACGGAAATTAGTTCCGTCGTGAATATTTTGCCGTCAATATTTTGCGGGCTTTATTTATCTTTGCGCCAAGATTCGCGACGTCGCCTTTTCCATCACCATTTTGCAATATTTTCCGTCGCGATTCGTGATTTTTCTTCGTGTTTTTCCGAAGGGAGGCCGTCGTCGACTTACGCTCTCGTTGGTTTCCGACTACTCTGTATGGCTGCGTTAGTTGATCAGTGTGCAAGCTTGACGTTGGCGGATGTGGATGATGAGGACGTTGCGGTATATGTGCCGTTCGAACCAGATGATTGCGCAGCGCGGGAGGAGGGGTTTTACGCGGTAGGCAAGATACTCACGAACCGAGCTGTTCGGTTTGTCTACTTCCAAGACACCATGGCAGGTGTGTGGCAGGCGGCCATGGGGGTTAACATGCGTGAGCTACAACCACGGAGGTTTCTCTTCCGTTTTTATCATGAAGCCGATTTACTTCGTGTTCTAAGTGAGGGGCCGTGGGCGTACGAACAAAATTTGTTGGTGATGAAGAGGCTGGAGTCGGGGGAGGATCCGGAGACAGTCCAGTTGGATCATGCGGAATTTTGGGTTCAAATCCATGCGTTGCTGATAGGGTTTAGGTCGGAGACGATGGTTAATGCAATTGGTTCCTTTTTGGGAAGGGTGGTTCAGACTGATGAACGGAATTTTGACGGGTCCATGAGGACGTATTACCGTGTTCGAGTGTTGCTGGATATCACCAAGCCTCTCAAGAAGCAGATGAAACTAAAGCGGGATGCCGGGAGTTGGGCTGTTGTTGATTTCAGGTACGAACGGTTGCCAACTTTCTGTTTCTTATGCGGGTTGATTGGCCATGGGGACAGACATTGTAGGCTTGCGTTGGATCGTAAGGATCAAAAGGCTGGGAAGCCTTATGGTGCATGGTTGCGGGCGTCGTCTCGCCGGGGGCCGCCACTGTTGAATACGGGTTGGATACCACCTGAGTCTGCTGCGGAGCGGAGGCAGTGGAAATCGCCGGCCATGGGAGGGGGGGACGTTGCGTCCAGTGGTGTTGTTGGGAGGGATTTGGGCAGTGGAGGGTTATCGGGTGAGGGTGGTGGGGGAATTTTGGGACAGGGCAGTGTTGTTGGAGTGGGACGGGGCAGTGGGGGAGGTTTGGGCAGTGAGGGAGGTTTGGGCAGTGTGGGGATGGATGATGTGGCTGGGGAAGTGGGTGTTGTGATGGGGGTCGTTGTGGGGGAGCAAAAACGGAGGACGGTGGATGGGGAGGTTGGGGTGGTGGGTGAGGGAGGGGGGGAAATGGAGTGTGATGGGACAGTGTCAAAAAACGGATTGGGGGCGGGACTTGCGACGCAAGCCCGCCGATAGTTATGAGTCTTATTTCATGGAATTGCCGGGGGCTTGGCAACCTGACGGCAGTTCGTGTGCTAGCGGACCTTGTTCGCACTAAGAGGCCGAGTGTGGTTTTTTTGATTGAGACTTTTGTTGGCAAGCAGCGTATGGAGGATGTAAGAGTGCAGTTGGGTTTTGATTGTGTCTTTACTGTGGAGGCGGATGGACGGAGTGGGGGTTTAGCGTTGTTATGGATGAATAGTGTGGATTTGACAGTATCCGGATACTCTGCGAATTTTATTGATTGTGATCTACGTTTGGATGTGGGTGCCCCTGCATGGCGTTTTACTGGTTTTTATGGTTTTGCTGAGAGGCACCGCAGACGGGAGGCTTGGCAGTTGTTGCGTACTTTGTCATCTCGGTCTACTCTACCGTGGTTAGTAATGGGGGATTTCAATGATCTCCTACATCAGTCTGAGAAGGTTGGCCGGGCCCCGCATCCGCCTTGGTTGATTAATGGTTTCAGGGAGGCAATTGCGGACTGTGATTTGCAGGATTTTCCGTTTGAAGGGCCGCAGTTTACATGGGTTAAATCACGGGGCACGAGTGGCATGATTGAGGAGAAGTTGGACCGAATTCTAGCAAATAAGGAGTGGTTAAATCTGTTTCAGGGCGCCCGGGCACAGTCTCTAGTTGTCCCATACAGTGATCATTTACCCCTGATTATTAAACCGGTTATTCTGCCACGCGTCCGGAAACGTGCTAGGTTTTGCTTTGATAATTTGTGGCTACGGGAGGATTCATGTAGGGAAATTGTAGCACAAAGCTGGGAAAGGACGGTGGACCTGGAAACGTTAACAAGGGTGGAGTCATGTGTTCTTGATTTGAAGAGGTGGGGGCGGAGTTATAATAGAGATTTTCAGCGGAAGATTGAGTTTAATAAGCAGCGTTTAGTCCGGTTGAGAGGGCGGCGTGATGAGCCAGGGATGAGGGAGTATGAGGCGGTTGAGAGGGAGTTGCTTATTTTGCTGGAGCAGCAACATTATTTCTGGAAACAGCGGGCTAAGGAGTATTGGTATCAAGGTGGAGATGTTAATAGCAAGTTTTTTCACAACTCTGTGAAAGTAGACGCCAACGTAATACTATTAGACGCCTCCAGGATGAGAATGGGATTTGGGTGGAGGATTCAGAGGGGCTGGATAATGTAATGTTGAATTATTATACGGGTTTGTTTACCCCGGATTATGGTGAGATGCGGGAGGTGATTGATGCAATACCAGCGAAGGTAACTGAGCGTGATAATGCTATGTTGCTGCGGCCCTTGAGTATGGAGGAGGTACGAACTGCGGTGTTTCAGATGCATCCGGATAAGTCCCCGGGGCCTGATGGTTTTGGACCGGGGTTTTTCCAATATTTCTGGGACATTGTGGGAGGGGAAGTAACAGCTTTTTGTAGAAGTTTTATGGAAACGGCCAAGCTCCCGCGTGGGGCTAATGATACCCTCGTTGTATTGATTCCAAAGAAGCCCAGACCGGAAACTATGAAGGATTTACGCCCGATTGCATTGTGTAACGTCATTTATAAGGTGGCGGCGAAGGTATGTGCAAACCGACTTAAACCCTTGTTGCATAAGTTGATTTCATGTGCTCAAAGTGCCTTTGTACCGGGGCGTTTAATAACTGACAATATCATGATTGCCTATGAGGTTCACCACTTTTTGAAGCGTAAGACCCAGTGACGTGAGGGGGTTGTTGCATTGAAACTTGACATGTCGAAGGCCTATGATCGGGTTGAGTGGGGGTTTCTACGGGCAGTATTGCTTAAGATGGGGTTTGATGGCGGGTGGGTTGATATATTGCTGGAGTCAGTGTCATCAGTTCGGTATCATATCTTGCATGACCAGCGGCATTTGGGGCCAGTTGTACCGGGAAGAGGCCTTCGTCAGGGGGACCCGCTTTCCCCGTATTTGTTCCTTTTTGTGGCTGAGGGATTGAGTGCTATGATTGAGAGAAGTATGGCTGCGGGTCGTTTGCATGGGGTTTCGGTAGCAAGGGGGGCTCCTTCGATCTCTCATCTCCTTTTTGCAGATGATTCCTTCCTCTTTTTACGGGCTAATGAGGATGAAAGTATTCAAATGAGGTATGTACTTGATACTTATGCCAGGGCCTCCGGACAACATGTTAATTATGATAAATCTGCTGCATGTTTTAGTGTTAATGTCCCACAGAATAGAAGAAATGAGGTTGTTGATATACTCGGTGTGGAGGAGGGTGAAAGAGTGGAAAGTATTTGGGTTTGCCATCCCTAGTAGGGAGGAGGAAGAGGGATATTCTGGGCTTTCTGAAGGATCGTATACTCACCAGGGTCCGTTCTTGGAATGCCAAGTTCTTGTCTAGAGCTGGGAGGGAGGTGCTTTTGAAGAATGTCCTGCAGGCAATGCCTGCTTATGCTATGATGGTATTTTTGCTCCCCTTGGGTCTATGTCGGGAAGTGGAGGTAATTTTGAATCAATACTGGTGGACTGGCAGTGTAGGTGGTGGCCGTGGAGTCAGGTGGCGCTCATGGGAGGGTCTGGCAAGGCCGAAAGCATGTGGTGGAATGGGCTTTCGACGCCTACATGAGATGAATAAGGCGTTACTATGGAAACAGGCGTGGAGGTTAGTTTCCAATCCCTCGAGTCTAGTGGCACGTGTGTATAAGGCTCGGTATTATCCTGATTGTGGTTTTTTTTTATGCTAGGGAGGGTAGCAACCCGTCCTATATTTGGCGGGGTATGCTGGAGGTGAAGGGCTGTTTGAAGGAGGGGTGTAGACGGGTCATTGGTGATGGCAAAAGCACTATAATTGGCAGGGATCCTTGGTTACCTGTGGATGGTAATCCGTTTGTGGAAACAGAGTTGCATCAGACAGTTTATGAGGCTCCGGTGGCCTCCCTGCTAGATTTACATGGTAATGGTTGGGATGTGGATTGTGTAAAGGATATTTTTAACCCCCGTGATGCTAATATCATTTTGAATATTCCTGTCAGTAATCGGAGGCCTCATGATCAGTGGTTTTGGCAATGGGAGCAGAAAGGTGCATTTTCAGTCAAATCATGTTATAAGCAGCTTACGAGAGT